CCAAGTTTGAATTGTCAAAAATTTCTATAATTTACAGCCAATTGTTATGAAACTCGGTTTGTGTATTCGGGACCTTTTGGTCAAACGTTATAATAATATTTCTAAAATGCTTTTGACTAATTTTGCCTATTGGTATGAAACTTGATCCATTCATTGGGTTGTCCAGAGAAATACCAATTATGCCTTAATTAACTGATCTTCCTGTCAGCCATCTAGTCTTAAGTCAAAAACCTTCTTTTTCAAAGTCCACCTACATTGTTTGGCTGATTTGCTCCAAAATTGACTCAGATCATCTTCAGACCATGCTGACGAAAGGTTATTGAATTTGTGTCGATAAGTGTAATGGTTTTGGTTTACTGCACCGATAAATGTAATGGCATGATGCCAAACTACATCAAACTACATCTGAGGCTCTGTATCTCTGTCATAGTTAAAGATAATGACACCAAATTTTAGATCTATCTAAACTTTTGTCTACATATGCTTATTTTGAACACAGATACTAATTATGCCATAATCTGCCAAACTTTCTTCCTGCCTTTTTGATTTTGTTGAAACCATTCTTTTTTAACTCCTCTTAGACTGTTGGTCCAATCTTCACCAAATGTGATCATCTTCAGACTATCTAGACCAAAAGTTATGAAATTCATATTGATAGACAAAACTGTTGTAATTTAGCAAATGCGCAAACTTGATGTAATGCTGTCAGATGACATTACAGGCTGAATCACTGCAATGGCTTGAAGTATTCAAACCAAACTTAATGTGTGTGATCTAGACCTGACATTGACCAAACTACGTCAGCCTTCACCACCTTCTGTGTAAAACTGACAAACATTAAAATTCTATCAATAGCAATCATGCAAAATTTATTGAATGATTTTGAATAGTTTTTTCTAATGGCATGAGACTGGTCTTGTTAGATTCCCTGTATCATACAGAGCTCATTGATATTATTTAATCCCTAAATGACACGACTTCCTGTCCACCTTCTTGAATTAGTTTGATAATCTGTTGTTTTGAACTCTCCATAGATTGTTAGCCCAATTTCCACCAAATTTGGCTCAGACCATGCTGCCAAAAGGTATAGAATTTTCCCTTTGCTCTGTAGCTTGTTGCTGTGCTTGTTTATGATGTGGCCGCTGGGTCGCTTGACCCTAATAATTGCTGTTTGTAGCTATATTTGCTATTGTTATTGTTAGATTTTGTTCCTTTTGTTGTCATTTTTTAATGTTTATTATACTTTTAAAAAATGTTAATCCTCTCGGTATAAACAAATCATTATTGTCTCCAGCAAAACTGTCATTATTGCTGCAAATGAAAACATCTTTGCTTTGTAAAAAAAAATCATATCAATTAAAATATATATTTTTCCAAAAGTTACATTTTTTCTTGTTATTCATTTACTATAGTTCTTTATTTTTGGAGATAACTACAACATGCATGAAACTAAACTAAAAATAGCATGCATGTATAATTATGACAGTTTCATGCTAAATGCAAAGCATAGAAAAGTTAAACATATTCAAAACCTAAAATGTGTAACTAATTGTTGAAGTTGGTCTTATTAGATACTAATGAGCAGAGTAGCTCTCCGGCAGTGGTGTTTTTAGCAGAGTTAATCAATAGATTTAGCACTCTAATGAGATCTGAAACAGAATATTCATAGATAAACAGCCCTGGGTTAAAATATAACATATAGAGGTTACAGTCAGAGGTCACTGACTTGTGATGAAATAAGGTGTGACATGCATAAGCACTCTTCAGTTTCTGTTGTGAATGTCATAAATTTCACAGAAAGCAAGGCGATTGCACTGAGCAAAACATAAAAAGCCCTGTGAGACCTGAATGTTTTCTTGATGTTCTAGCTTTTAGATTTATATTTAAAGTCAAGACCAAAGCAATTTACCAAATGTAATACAAATGTTCTTAAAATGTATTAATAAAAAATACTTTCAGCTTTTGGAAAATATGGCTTGATAATGCTCTGTTGGAGTAAAGTGTGTACTTTGTCACAGAATGACATTGAATGAATAGACCTAATAGTTCATTCATTAATTGATTTTACTTCGGCTTAGTCTCTGATTTATCAGGGGTCAGCACAGTGGAATGAACCACCAACTACTCTGACATATGTCTCAGGTAGCAGATGCGCTTCAAGTCACAACCCAGTACTTGGGAAACACCCAGACATGCTTGCAATTTAGTTAATCCAATTCTCCTATACCGCATGTATTTGGACTGTGGCGGAAACTGTAGCACCCAGAGGAAACTCAAACAAACACAGAGAGAATATGCAAACTCCCACATGCACACTCCATAAGGTCAACTGGCCCAGCTGGGACTCAAACTAGTGACCTTCTTGCTGTGTAATGACAGTGCTAACCACTGAGCCAGAATCACCAGAAAGCAATAGATCATTCACTACCTTTACAAGTGCCGTTTCGGTACTATGGAGGGGGCGAATACCAGATTGAAAAGGGTCAGAGAGATTATTATCAACTAGAAACTAGAAAAGACTGGAGTTGGGCAGCAGAAGTACTTTCCACTAATTTAGATATAAAAGATCATCTTTCGGAGACCCCCCTCCACCCCAGCTCCACCTGTGTTTAGATTTGCTTCAAGGGTTACATTTATATTATTTTTGCAGCAGCAGTGTGTTATATTTTCAGACCTAATTGAAAACAACTTTTCAATGCTGTGAGCAAGTAGAACAAGTACAACTAACCAAAACATAGTTTGTGGATTTACCATTTGCCAAGTCTATTGCTCCAACAAACATTCGCAAACTGTGTCGCAAACTTGTGCACTTGAAGCTAATAATAATAATAATAATAATAATAATAATAATAATAATAATAATAGTAATAATAATAATAATAATAATAATAATCATCATCATCATTAATATTATTTATATTATTATTATTATTGTAGGATTATTAAAATTTACTAATAAATATTAAATTTAATTTTATAATTAATAGCCTCATTATTTATTTATTTATATTATTTAAATATGATATTAGAATAGTGTTAGCTTTTGTAAGTAATTTTATGTTTTAGAACAGAATATGTAATTTTCAACTTCTCAATAATATTATTAAAGCAAACATCGGCCCTATATGTGCCATTTACATATATTTTAATTAATATGGAAAGCGAGTGCATGTTTTTACCAAAACTAATATTGGATTTTATTTGAATGCGTGTTTCTGTAAAACAATATAATTTGCACAAAGAAATGATGGGGTTGCTCTATAAAGAAGAAGTTACTCCACTCCGTTTAGAGCATCATTATGGGCGTTTTACGTCATAACTAATGTGGTTCAAGCGATAGATCTGCGACAAAGAAACTACGGGTTTTGGGGAACACTCGTTCCTACGTTCTTTTCCCAAACGATGCATCAAACTATAATAGTTCAGCCGCGAGTTATGTTGTTTTTTGGGAAACGCACCCCTGCTTCACACTTTGTATTGAATATACACATTTCAGTAATAACGGCAGACTAATGACCTCAGACAAACACAGCACATTCAAAAACTGCAGTGCTTTTTACTTTTCTTTAAAGTCTTCATCCCAGCCACTAGCACCACATCTAAAATATTTTTTTTTATTTATTTTTTTTATTGCATAGGGGGTAATGTAGTCATTTAACTTTACAATTTGTAATGTTGCAATATGTACTGGAATAATGATGACTGGTTCCTTTACTTGAAAGCTCAGATTTGATCATCATAATTTGTTTTGTTTACAGAGTTTGAGGTTTACTGTATCATTATTATTCACACCTTAAAGTTTGCTTTGATTGTTCAGTATTTGCACTTTACTATTAAACACACTTCTTAACATAACACTTACAGTATGTTAATTTTATTATAAAAAACATTCATTCATTTTCTTGTCAGCTTAGTCCTTTTATTAATCTGGGGTCACCACAGCGGAATGAACCACCAACTTATCCAGCAAGTTTTTACGCAGTGGATGCCCTTCCAGCCGCAACCCATCTCTGGGAAACATCCACACATTGTCATTCACACACACACACACTACGGACAATTTAGCCTACCCAATTCACCTGTACTGCATGTCTTTGGACTGTGGGGGAAACCAGAGCACCCAGAGGAAACCCACGCGAACGCAGGGAGAACATTTCCACACAGAAACGCCAACTGAGCTGAGGCTCGAACCAGCGACCTTCTTGCTGTAAGGCGAACGTGCTACCTTTTTGTTTTGACAATTAAAATTGTTTGCCCTAGTAATGTAAAACAGAAATTTGTGAGCACTTAATTTTGAATATTTGTATGTATTTTAGTTGGCTATGCCATGATTCTAGTAAATAATCAAGGCAAATATGTGACAAAGTGATTAAAAATTATTCATAGCTGTTATTATAGCCTGAAGAAGTAATACACCTAATAAATATCCAAGGTTACATAATCAAAGTGAGAAGGAAGTGTCACTAGTCTCTAAAAGACATCAGACGTCTTTTTATTGTGATCTTCCTCCACTCTTATAGTCTCTTCAGTGTTTAACCCTATGAACAATCTTGAATATCCAATAAGATTCTCCACAATATCCTGTTCTTTGATTCATTTGTTCCTCTACAACCAGATATTTGGGGGACTTCCAAGAGTTAGCAACATTGTTAAAAAATTACAGGAAAAAAACAGCTGACATATGGCGACACGGAAGGGCATCCACTGCATAATAACATATGCTGGATAAGTAGGTGGTTCATTCCCCTGTGGCTCAAACATTCTCACTTTAACGCTGTCAGAGGGTTTGAGTCATTTTAGAACGGCTCACCGTTTTTCAAAGTCAGTTAATCTGGAAAGTTAGGCTGCCAGTTAATGGGTTTGTCAGATAATTATGAAAAATAGTCACCATGTGCAAGATTAGCTCCAATAACTGGGAGCTATATAAAGACTGACCTGTTTTTTATAAATATATAAATCATTAAAAGGTACTAATTTTTTCTCAATTTTATATTTTGAAGCTAAATCCTGCTGACTGAAAGGGCATCAAAGAATATACAGGATCTATGACCTTTGGTAAATTCCAGAAGCGGTAAATATCCATATTTTGTAGTTGAGTCTTAAAGAATAGTGAATTGTGACAATGTCTTGAAAACAATCTGACATACTCTACATAAATTAAATATGTTTTGTTGTCATATTTGAGTATTTTGATCTTGCCTTTTAAATTGCATAACTTTCATATCCTGTTTTCTACCCAGGAGACAGTGATGTCCGCAACGCAAAACCACCTACAGAAAGATTAAGGAACATTACGGCGACCTGAAAAACTTTTTTCTAGCATCAATATCAGTGTGAGAGCAGCAGATTCTGTCACCTCTTACTCTGGAAATGTTCTTTTTCTATACTGTCACTTATTGATTCTGTTTTGAGTGTTACATTTTTCTCAACTCTATTGTGACATGTTTTAGTTCAAGTGGACTTGTCATGACTAGACACCTTTTAAAGGATTCTCTTTTCTATTACGTTCATTAAGCCTTGATCTACATGTTTCTCAAAGGAGGAATTTGAAAAAAGACAACATCACTTATCAGGTCTGATTTTTTTTTTCTCTGTCACTTTATTTTTAATACTTTATGCTTAAGCTTACACTTGTCTGGCCTGCTGTTCACTTTTAGGGGATATTTCAACAACTGCACAGTGTTTTTTTGTTTGTTTTGTCGAACAAACTGGACTTGGTCTCTGAGGAAGATCTAAAAGCATAACCTAGCTTTTTTAAGCTTTTGGAAAGGACAAAGTTCATCAACAGGTCATAATTCATCTCTCTCCAAATCTCTTTTCATTATTTTTGTGCGCATTATCAGATGTTCCCCTGTAATTTACTCACTGAACTTCAATGAAGAGGTTTTTACTAGTTTAAAATGTCAGTTTCTTTTGGAGAACTGGGCTGTTGCTGTGAGACTGTAAAATCAGTTGGGACCAGACTGGAGATGGGACCTTGACTATGAGAGAATGACTATTTGAATAGTTTTAATGTCTAACTTGATTGGGAATGGGACCTATTCTTTGTAAAATAGTTAAAAATACTCAATCTTGAAGAAAAAGTGGTCACAACTAAAGAGTTTTCAGAAATGTTTGGAATTTTTCATATTAATTCCATGTCTCTCTGTCTCTTTAAACATCTGTCCATTTAAATAAGGAAATGTGGAGAGGTCCTAAAAGGAAAGACTGGTCTGTATATGCATGCTGTTACTTTGGTGTCTTTTATTATTAATTGCTTAAAAATGTTCTAGACTTTTTAATGCACGAAAAATATTAGTTCTTTTCAACCTACCCTATATGTTCTAAAGATTGAGACTGAGGCTTATTTATATTTTTCCTTTCATGTTATGTAAGTTTGAATTTCCTTGTGCATCCTTGTACTCTTCCTTGTTTGTTTGTGCCTTTTAGTTCCTCGCTTTCTTATTTAGTAGCTGTATGTTAGATCTAATGCTCCATTGTTTTCCTCTGTCTGGTCTCTGCCTGCCATCTGACCTTGTCAGAACTGTTGCTAATGCTGCGAAACTGGATTCTTTTATTTACTTGATCTAGACACTTTGGAACTTTTTGAGTTCAGTGAAATTCAATTGGAAATCCAGTTTATTGGTGTGTCCTTTAAGCAAAGACTCTACTTGAATCTTCACAAGAGGGACACTGATGATGTCAGAGATGATCTCAAATGCAATTGTGTTCCGTCTCTGGGCAGTTATTGGCTGCCGGGATTTGAATGACAATAAGGACTCATCCAGGCCATAAGCCTCATTGTGGAATACAATCTACTTTTCATATTTTGGATTAATCTATCTATATCAGTATCAAACAAAATTAAGGATTTCCATCTACACTGGATTTATCGTGAACACTTCATTTTTCAGATATTTTTTCAGTCACTCTGTGGGGGTCTGTAATGGGGGCCGCTCGAGTGAAGCGGCGCTTCAGTGCGGTTGTGGACACCCCTCTGGATGAGGAAGAAGTCATGAGGCTGGCACAAAGTGATGATGGCACTTCCTCCCATTCGGGCACACTTCCATCTCCCAACTGCAATGGCAAAGTGCTCAGCATTCTCCACAGCAATGGAGGAAGGAGCGGAGAGAGAGATGAGGATGAGGATGATGATGATGCGGACAAGGATGATGATGATGAGGAGGAAGGGGGAGGAAGGAGGGGAGGGGGAGGACGTGGCTCGGCACTCAGTGGGGAGTCTGGGGTTGAAGGGAGGTGGGAAAGGAACAAAAGAGCATCCTTACCTTCCCTTTCCCCCACACCGCTCCGTGATCGCCGCCGCCAGTCCCGCCGGCCCCGAAGGCGCTTTGTAGGCAAGGACGGGCGCTGCAACGTCACCTTCGTCAACATGAGCGAAAGGGGCCAGCGCTACCTAACTGACCTCTTCACCACCTGCGTTGACATCCGCTGGCGCTGGATGCTCGTGGTGTTCACCCTCTCCTTCTTGCTCACCTGGCTTCTCTTTGGTTTCACGTTCTGGCTCATTGCTGCTGCTCATGGGGATTTGAATCCCTTAGCATCATCTTCCTCTTCTCCCTCATCTCTTTCATCCTCTCTGGCTCCACTGGATGCCACCGAAGGTTCCAGTCGAGTGGAAATGGTAGCAGAGACAGAGGAACCCTGCTTTCAGCAGGTGAACAGCTTCATGGCGGCGTTCCTCTTCTCTCTAGAGACACAGACATCTATAGGTTATGGCTTCCGGAGTGTTACCGAGGCCTGCCCCCTGGCGGTGTTGGCTGTCGTTTTGCAGTGCATTGTGGGCTGCATCATCGACGCTTTCATCATTGGGGCGGTAATGGCTAAGATCGCCAAGCCCAAGAAGCGCAATGAGACACTGGTGTTCTCGGATGTGGCTGTGGTGGCCGTGAGGGACGGGAAACTCTGCATGATGTGGCGAGTGGGAAACTTGCGTAAGAGCCACCTGGTGGAGGCTCATGTTCGAGCACAGCTACTTAAGGTTAGTGAGTCTTTTTCAATTTATTACTTTTAATGTTAAGTCTATTAAGGAATCATGAAAAGGGTTTTTAATAGTATTTAATGTCTTCCATGAGGACCATAGTTTTGTCATATATTCAGTCATCTGCAAGAAACAGTATTAACAACTCTCACTTTATAAATATCCATATAAAATTCATATATGATGAATTCATATATGAAACTGTTGACATGTGGTTTGTTATTTAGCTGCTGCCTGATATAATGCAATTGGCTACGTTATCTTTCAAAGAAAGTTTTACATCATTCACTGAAACTCAATTACCAAGTAATAAACTTTCATATACTCTAAAACAAACATATATCCGTATAAGACTCCTTTAAACAACCATCCACTCATGTCTAATATTGAGTAAAATTGTTTCACAGCAGACCAAAGTCAGGCCTGGATTCACATTGACAGAAGGGTCTTTCCAAGATTTTTGAGTAATGAAAACATTACTATGATGTAGAGGAGAACCAAATCCACAAGACCAGACTGATGGAAACAGATCCCAAAATAGAAATCTTATATACAGAAATAAATACAAATTACATGTGACATAATAGTTCATAAGAATTTTACATGTATAAAATATACATACTGTACAAGTCAAATATTGTCATTTTTTGACAACTTTTAGAATTACAAATATGTACACATATATTACGTAAATAAATGCTATATTTGTTACCCTTACAAATATATTACCTATAATTTGTATATGTGTCCATATGGCTGTATATGAACACACACACACACACACACACACACACACACACACACACACACACACACACACACACACACACATATATATATATATATATATATATATATATATATATATATATATATATATATATATATATATATATATATATATATGGTTGAAAATAAATATAAACAGTGATTTTTGCATTATTTTGATAAATTATTGACTATTATGACATTTTATATACAGTATGTGTAATCCAATTGTAATTTGCTTATGTTGCCACATATCATATGCCATATATCAGCTTTCTATATGGGGACGTAAAGTGAGAAAAACAATTACAGTAAACCTACATTATGATGGAATGAATAAAACTAGTTTAGTGTATCCACGGGCTGTACTGTTCCCTCTACACTTAAACCATAATGAAACCTGTATCATATATTTTAAACAATAATATTTTATGATTGTTAAAGATTGATTATTGAATCCATGTGCATCTTGTGTGCTGGTGATCTAAAGTTTTGTTCCTGTAGTATTTGGATGATAAAAGAATTATGTGAACCAATGATCCTGCAAATGCAAGACTTTTAAGGAAATGAATGCAGCATGCAGAGGTTTGAACATTGGAGAGCCTGAGTTAAAAGTAGCGAATGTTTAGAGTTTTGAAAACTGACACCAAGTTTCTGAAATTTGTGGCAAAACAATTTAAAAAAAAATCATATTTGAATCAAGTTATTTGAGTCATTGCAGAGATGTATGAATGCAGTCCTCCAAGCTCTTGGGAGTCATACACAATATCAATTCTTTTTCCACTATACTATGGCTTTATACTATATACTGTATATATAAAATATAACTATAATTTCATAAATAAAATATAACTATATAAAATGTAACTACTAAAGTACATTTTTACTTTATACTTCATACTAAAGCGACAAGACTTTTGTCTCAACAAAGTCAGACCTTACTGTCCTAATTAAATCCTTAAAAATCAAGGCATGATCAAATTTTATTTTGGTAAAATAAGCATAATTTAGATGTCTTTGCATTTCATATTAGCCACTTCTGATACCAAATGATCAACTAAGCCAAGTTATTATTTGTTGTTCCTAAAACTTGGATAGGCAACAAGACTTGTCAGGTAGTGTATCCTTTTATATGTACACATATAGTATTAACAGTACACATATAATATTTAGCAGCATTACTGTTCCAGCTTTCTGCATGATAAGAATAAATACAAAAAAATTGCCTTGTCTGTTTGAAAAAAAAAATGAATTCCTAAAAATATTTCACATTATAGTTCTTTTGAAAATGCTACCAATGCCAAAAATTGTAAGACTACTGTACACAAGAAAGAAATAGCATGCAAAAAAGCATGGTATGATACATGGCAAGATAAGAGACTGAGCGAATGAAAGAGAAAAGAAATAGACAGAATGACATCTGGACAGTTGGTGTGGTTAATGATGGCTTGTTTTATCAACCTCATACCGGAGGTTTATAAGATTTGCAGAGGGGATTAACTTAACCAGAGCAAACCATTGTCTCATTTATCTGCCTACAGTGTGTGTGTGTGTGTGTGTGTGTGTGTGTGTGTGTGTGTGTGTGTGTGTGTGTGTGTGTGTGTGTGTGTGTGTGTGTGTGTGTGTGTGTGTGTGTGTGCGTGTGTGTGTGTGTGTGTGTGTGTCTGTGTGTGTGTGTCTGTGTGTTTGTGACATAATTTAATGGCCTGATTAAAATGATTTGTTTCAGTATGCTTTTGTTTAATATATGAAATCTTGATGTCTTAAAGATGAAGATATGAGCACATCTAATGACATTTATGTTTGTCTTTTATTGAGTTCATGTCTACGTGTAAAAACTGTGATGTTTCTAACAAGACATGATATTTTGAGTTTGGAAGGTCAGATTTATGAACCCGGGGATAAGACAGTAAAACCCAACAAAATATATATATATATATATATTTCTGTTGCTGACTAATCTGAATGAAAATAGACTAGCATAAAATACTGAGCACAGTACACTGTCAGAAACAAAGGTACAGGAGCTGTCACTGGGACATTTGTAACCAAATGCCCAATTGATTCCTCAGATGTATATATTAATACCCAAATTATGTACATAAAATGTACTTTTGAGGTGCCATTTTAGACCTTTTAATAGGGCTTAGGAAACTGACCTAAAATCAAAATCTCGATTAATTAAACAGTTCAACTGGATTTAGGTTAATAGGCACATTTTTTTATTTTTTTATTTTTTTTTTGCCCTCGTAGTTCACTGACAAGTTTTGTGCAGTAAATATGCTCACATATTACAAGTGAAAGATTTTTGAATGAAGGGTCCATTATTTGATTTTAAAATAACTGAAGGGAACACCCACTCAGGGATGGACATGATACCTGTAATTCAAATACGTATTTCAAATACAAAATAATATTTTGTAATTTGTATTTGATAGGGTTTATGAAAATTGATAATTACGTTGTATCAAAATACTTTAGTGTCTTGTATTTTGTATACTTTATAAGAAATTCACATGATGACATCAAAAAAATGTAGCCTCGGATTGGTGCTTTCTGAGTTATTTGGTAAGGCTTGAGATCCGAATAGAAAATTGATTCATATTGAAGAAGTTAATCAAAGCTTCAAGTATGGATGGAAATTATGCTTCACATATAAAGAAAGTAACAGACAAATAGGAGGGGTAATTTCGGGAGCAGGTCAAAATCAGACAGGAAAATAAGACAAACAACATGAAGTCCTACAGTGGCAATACCTGCAAAAAATAAATTGGCTGTTTCAAATGTCAATAGCTGATCTGCAGATGCTCTTTATAGGTAATTACAAACTTTGACACAGTTAATCAGTAAAGGAAAAATATTAAATAATTTTACAATCTACTGATCAAAAACTCCCTTTTTTTGAGATATCGTGTTTTATATTATTTTTGAAGAGTACAATTGCAAAAAAAAAAAAAAAAGAAAAATCATGGAAATGACTAAAACTAGAAATTAGTATTGAAGATTTCAGTTGCAAAAATATTGAAAAATAAAACTTTTAAGATTTAGTAAATTTCCCAATTAAGATATATCTTATTATATTCCAATTCATTATCCGCATTAAATGTTTTTTACAGTGATTAAAAAGATCATCTTCGAGATGAAATTTGTACAAAATCTAAACTAAAATCCAAGAGCAATAACAAGTTTAATGAATAAAACTTAAGTTACATTTTTTAATGAATAGCTTCTCGTGTACAGTAGAGGTGAATGAGGTGCAGAGAAGCAGACTTAAACATGCTCAGAGAAACGCTGTTGTTATCAATCATTGTTTACTTCACTAAATCAGTTTAATGATGAAGGGATTGATCCAATAGGCCCATTAATAGAAGGTTTGCGGGGGAAAAATCATGCTCCCTTGTAAAAGTACTTTTTAGAATTTTCAAAATACAAAATACAGTATTTTATTTTGATACATGTTGTGGGTGCTGTATTTTGTAGTTTATTTTGATACATGTCAATTTGAAGTATTTAGTATTTTATTTGAAAATACAATACATGTATCTCATCCCTGAGCACCGTCAGTTTCTGCGGTTTGCGTTTGAAGGTCGAGCTTGGCAATACAAAGTCCTCCCCTTCGAGCTCTTTCTGTCTCCGCGGGTCCTCACCAAGCCCGCGGAGGGTGCCTTAGCGCCCCTTTGGCTCGCGGGCATCCGCATACTCAATTATCTCGATGACTGGCTGATTTTTACCCCACTCTCGGAGCAATTGATTATGCACAGAGACAAAGTGCTCTGGCACTTCCACCTGTTGGGGTTTCAGGTCAACCGAGAAAAGAGCAAACAAAATAGTGGTCCCACTGAAATTATTTCAGAGGCTCCTGGGGCATATGGCATCCGCAGCCGCTTCACGCCGCTCGGATTACTCCATATGAGACCACTCCAGCACTGGCTTTACAATCGAGTCCCCAGACGCGCATGGCACGCGCGCGCACACCGAGTCACTGTTACTGCGCTGTGTCGCCACGCCCTCAGCCCTTGGAACGACCCCTCATTCCTACAGGCCGGAGTGCCTCTAGGACAGGCGTCCAGTCTTGTTGTCGTTTCAACAGATGCTTCCAGCACGGGTTGGGGGGCTGTGCGTTGCGGGCATGCAGCTGCGGGCCTGTGGAAAGGAACCCAGTTGCATTGGCATATCGCCTGGAGCTGTTGGCAGTGTTCCTCGCTCTCCACTGTTTTTTTTCCGGTGCTGGAGCAGTAACACGTGCTGGTCAGGACGGACAGCACGGCGGCGGTGGCATATATCAACCATATGGAGGTTTTCGCTCTCGCCGCATGTCTCAGCTTGCCCGCCGTCTGCTCCTCTGGAGTCATCCGCGGCTGAAATCGCTGCACGCCATTCACATTTCAGGCAAGCTCAACCGTGCAGCCGATGCGCTCTCACGACAGCTGTTACGTCCTGGAGAATGGAGACTTCACCCCGAGTCTGTTTAGCTGATATGGGCGCGATTCGGGGAAGCCCAGATCGTTCAGTTGTTTCCCCCGAGAAGGCTCATTGCCAGTTGTTCTTTTCCCTGACCGAGGGCTCTCTCAGCACGGATGCACTGGCTCTCAGCTGGCCTCGGGGCATGCGCAATACGCTTTTCCCTAGTGAGCCTGCTCGCGCAGATACTGTGCAAGGTCAGGGAGGACGTGGAACAGGTCGCTGGTTGCGCTCCCTGGCCAAACCAGACCTGGATGTCTGAGCTATCCCTCCTCGCGATGGCCCTCCCCTGGCAAATCCCTTTGAGAGAGCACCTACTCTCTCAGGGACAGGCACCATCTGGCACCCTCGCCCCAATCTTTGGAACCTCCACGGGTGGTCCTTAGACGCGAGGAAGACTTAGGTAACCTACTAATTGCGGTGGTTAATACCGTCACTCGGGCTAGAGCCCTCTCCTCGAGCGCGCCTATGCCCTGGAGTGGAGTATATTCACTGAATGTTGCGTCTCTCGCTGAGAAGACCCCCGAAATTTGCCAGATCAGCGTTGTGCTTTCTTACGCCAAGAGAAGCTGGAGAGCAGGCTGTCACCCTCCACCTAGTACATTTGCAAGGTTTTACAATCTGCGGGTGGAGCCGGTTTCCTCAAGGGTATTAGGTAACCCTTGGTGATTGAGGAAACAATTCGGTTTGGAGTTGAAACACGCTTGCTGCGCCTTTCTCCCTAATATGGAGATACGTGCGCCTTTTTATCTGCCAGAAAAGTTCCCCGTCAGGTGAGCCCTGCAGATTCCTCCAAGGCCCCCAGCACTGACTCAGCGGAGGAGTCACTTGCTGGCCCACTACGTTGTAGGTCTGCCCGCTGGTCAGCTCGCGTTTTGGGTATAGGTGCCCTCTATGCGTGATCCCCGTTAGGCGATCCAATATGCTTTTTCAGCCACAGGTGCAGTCCCCCCTCACGGGCGGACCCGTGTCTTCCCTCTCCGCTAACCATCCTATTATATGCGTACTCCCCCTTTCAGGGTTTGTCCATATGTATTTTTTGCCAACATATCTCCCCCATTGGGTGCTGTTGGCCTCCGCAGCGTCCTCCCTATCGGGACTGCACGCTTCCCAACGTACTGTCATATTATTCCTAGAATTATCTAGATGCTTACGACTTCCCAAAAAATATATCTAAATCTGTAAAACTTCTGTTGAAGTGGGATAAGTAAGGGCCAGGGACCACGTTGGAGGATCGCGCCTCTCATGATGTAGGAGCGTTCACGCTTGCTTGACTATCCTCTCATTGGAGGCGTTAGTAAGGTGCAGTCATTATGGCGTTTTCCATAGCTTCTCCCATTCGTGGATTTATATAGTTCAAATACACTAATAGCATTGAAGTTCCCCATTCGAAGGGGAACGCTCTGGTTACTAAAGTAACCCTCGTTCCCCGAGGGGGGGAATGGAAATGCTACTTACCATCGCCATAATGACTGTCCCTTAGCTGTAAGTTCAAGTCTCTTCAGCTTAAAAGGATAGCATGTGCTTGCTCCACCTGTGCTTATATGCGGAGATAATTGGCAATGAAGCACACGTGCGCAAGCTTACGCTGCCAATTCATTGGCATTTCATTGGCCCGTTCCATACTCTTTCAGACAATTAGCTTTCTGAACCGAAACCTCCCATTCGTGGATTTATATAGTTCAAATCCACTAATAGCATTTCTGTTGAAATATAAAAGAGAGTGCATGTTTTTTTTTTTTCTAAACTAATATTGGATTTTATTTTAAATCCGTGTTTGTGTAAAACCATATAATTTGCACAAAGAAATGATGTGGTTCTTCCGTAAAGAAGTAGTTACTCTACCTTATTTAAAGCATCATTATGGACGTTTTATGCTATAACTAATGTGGTTCAAGCGATGGATCTGCGACAGAGAAACTATAGGGCTCTGGGAAACACTCGTCACTACATTGTTCTTTTCACAAATGATGCATCGTACTATGATAGTTCAGCCTTGAGTTACGTCGTTGTTTGAGAAACGCACCCCTGAATGGTTTTGTCATTTTGACAACAGATGTAATCTATAGCAAAAATTAAAACCAATTCATTTGGAATTGTTAGCATAAAAAAGTGATACTTTAAGGCAGGGGTTCCCAAACTTTTCAGACTGTGACCCCCAAAATAATAATTGAAGTGACTCGTAAACCATACTATTCTCGGAGGTGGTAATACAAACATTGCAGACAACAGCTCACACACACCAATAGGATACTAAAAAAAACACAAGGATATTTACAACAAATGCAACAATCAAACCATGTAATTTTTCAGTCATTATTCATTTGTTTTATTTAATATAAACCTTACTGGTCGGCACAATGTTTACAGCACAAGACATTTCTTAGTTTGATTTATACTCTATGTCTTGGAGATCATCCTCCATGTTCAGTTGTGGCCTTTATTTTTAATGTACGTAAATGCTGTAAAGTTGTCAAAGCTTAACATTGTGCCGTAAAATCAATCTGCTGCAGCTAACGCTATAGGGAAAGCAATCTATGTGGAAAAAAAATAATTGAAAAGCTGATGACTTTTTAATTGCATGTTTTTTTATGTAACTATTAAAATTTATTTTTTATCTTTTGTAGATTATAGATTAAAATATATTGTTTAATAAAATACATAAAATTTTTGTAATACGCAAGCAATTCCCCATCATTGTCTAGCTACCCCCACTTTGGGAACCACTGCTTTAAGGTATAAATAAACAATGTTTTAGAAGAGGACATGGTGTTGGTGTTGATTTTGTGAGGACTTTAGTAACCATTGTTTTAACCTTTGCTGCAGCCACGGGTGACCCCTGAGGGCGAGTTCCTGCCATTGGACAACTCAGACCTCAATGTCGGCTTTGACACGGGAACAGATCGCATCTTTTTGGTGTCACCTGTGACCATTGTACATGAAATTAATGAGGAGAGCCCCTTCTTTGAAATGGACAAAGGTGCACTAGAGGGAGACAAAGATTTGGAAGTGGTGGTAATTCTGGAAGGTATGGTGGAGGCCACTGCCATGACCACTCAATGTCGGTCCTCTTTCCTGGCTTCTGAGATTCTCTGGGGTCACCGATTTGAGCCTGTGCTCTTTGAAAGGAAGAACTGCTACCAGGTGAGAGACTGAGAAAATAAGGTGGAAAGTGATGAAGGTGGAAGAAATAAGGAGATTATTGAGGGGAAACTGTAGTGGTTGTAAATCCAGAAGTACCCAATAAAAAGCATAAGCCTACATTGTTTTAACAGATATGTTTATTAATAATAATAATAATAATAATAATAATGTAATAATTTGTTGACCTGTAAGGCCTGTAAAACATTCTAATTAAAAAAATCAAATTTCCCTAAAAGGAAAAATTCACCCTAAAATAAAAATATGCTCACCATATCAAAGTTCAAAAAGTTAAACAACTTAAACAGGTTTGGAACAAGTAAAGGGTGAGCAAATAGTCACAGAATTTTTAATTTTAGATGAACTACCTTTAAATCAGTTCCCGTTTATGTCTGTGCCCATTTTTTCAGCAGTGCTTGTTTAGGAAGTATTCTTCCTATTAATTTTTACTATATAAATATTTAAATATTTTGAATATTTGTGTAAAAAATCGTATTTCAAGTTTATTACAAGATATGCATAAATACAAATACTTCTGTAGATCAGTAGTGTAGGAAGATATAGCTGTTTCACTGTGCTTCATGAGAGTGGCAGGAGCCAAATATCTCTGTTGGCACTTATTTTTAAGTACGATAGGCCACCATAAAGTTGTTACAGTATAAATTTTCATTTTTTCAATATGATTGTTTTTTAAAATACAGCTATAAGATAAAGCTATAAATGAATAAAAGTTATTGCGAAAAATCTGTTGCTCTGTGGAAAAATATATAGAATTTTTAATTCCGTAAGCTGACTTTGCCATCTATTTATTAATTTAAATACATCAGTTTAATTCTGATTGTCAGTTTTTTTTTCTTTCTGAACAAATAGATGCATATACTAGAATTACATTAACTATGTTCACATTTATGCTTTAAAGATTATTTGTTTTGTGTTCCCACCAATACTTCCACAGACCCCTTTAACGGCTGCTAAAACGTATCTAAATATTAACTAAAAATATTTTGTCTTCACTTTTTTGGACACATGAACACTTTTCTAGACACATGAACATGAATATATGAATATGAATATATATATATATATATATATATATATATATATATATATATATATATATATATATATATATATATATATATATATTTCATTTTTTTTTTTTTTTAGCTCAATACTTTTTTTTTTGTTTGCAAAACCTTTTTTTTTTTTTTTTGCAAGTATATATGGCCCTTCAACGCTAAGGATTTTTTTTCTACTGGCCCAAATGGGCCAGGGGTTCAGATTTCTACTTGCCCTGCCAATATTTTTGCTTGCCCCACAAAAGAAAAAAAAAAAGAAAAAAATAAGGAAAAGTCAATAGCTATTTCTTAGTCACATGTTTTAAATATTGTGTCAAAATATGTTCTAGACTTTAAATATTTTTAAAAAGTTTATAAAAAATATAATGAGCAAATTGACGCGCTGTACCCATGTAAATGTCTGCTTCCAAGACATTCTTTTAGCCTCATAATTTGATGTTGCTGTCACTTCGCTGTACTGGTATAACAAAAAAAACGTCATGCTCTCAACATAAAATCAAATAAGAGGAACCGAAAAGTAATATGGTGTTTACGACACCATAGAGAAGGTAGCATTTAAAGTCTTAAAAGCACAAACTGTTTCTCGACTCTAAGACTGTATTCATACGCATTTGACAAATAGTCGCAGGCAAATTGAACTATTGCGACAAGGCAGCACAGATCGGGCCAGTAACAATCCTGTCTACTGTCTTAAGAGCCTCGCACGCTGGCCCCGGGCCATCGGGCAGTCCTTATTGTTGAGCCCTGCCCTAGATTGACTCTCCATATACTATCCTACTCCATAGATGAAACGTAAACCGAAGCCCTGACTCCCTGTGGTCATTTAAAATCCCATGACACATTACATTACAATATACATTTACAAATGCAGTAATGTGTTTCCTTTCACATACAGTCCAAAACTAAAACTAGTGTTACCTAAAAATCAACAGTATTTGTTTCCTGCTCTGTTCAAATCTAGAAACTCACATCTAGCCATGCTTTGTGCTTTGTACTAGTCATGACATGTGTCCTCCTCAACTCTAGGTGGACTACTCATACTTCAACAGGACTTATGAGGTCACGGACACTCCCACCTGCAGCGCTAAGGAGTTAGCAGAGAAAAAGTACATTGCACGCTCCCGTTCCTCCTTCTGCTACGAGAATGAGGTGGCTCTGCAGCTCTCCTCCTCTGTCCCGCCCTGCGCTGACCAGTTCTCTCCATCCCCCTGTTCGTCCCCCCCTCAGTCACCCACACCACCACCTCGACAAGACTCCTGCAGTGAACACCCACACAAACACTGAGCCATGCGGCTAGGATAAAAGGGCAGAGGGAAAAGAAAGAAATGGAAATAGATAGAGAAAGAAAGGAAAGGGGTCAGGATGGAGGCAGAAGGTGCAGCTGGGGGAAGGGAGAGATAGAGTGAGAGAACCAGCGAGTGGACAAAGGGCTGGAATGACTGACTTGGACGGGACTAAGTGAAAGAGGACCATAATGGGACATTGTAGGACTGATTAATGACAATGGGTCATGCTTAAGATGGGGTAAGAAAAGACAGAATGCACAAAAGATGGAGAATAGAAAAGGGAAAGGGGTCCACCCGAAAGAAGAGAATGGAAGAGCAAGATAGTTAGACAGTGGGGTGAATTCACTAAATGGTTGCGACAGGTCAGTATTTTTTACTCATGCTTAGCTAGATGTTAGTCTGTCCCTCGAGACTTACTTTGCTAGTCCAACTAAGCAAGGAAATGACTAAATCTAAGATAAAAATCTGAGTGGATGATCTAAACGTTACCAATTTTTCGTGTAAACAACTTCTTTACACCCATTTAAACGAACTGTCAATGTAAGGGAAGTTACTCTGAAACTACTTAAAATTTAAAGTAGCTAAACTATCATCATACTATGCTTCTAAAAAAGTTGCTAGCTTTATAAAAAGTTGAAATTGAAACTGCTCTTTTATAGTGACATAAATGCTTTAAAAGTGTTAATTAGTAATGTTTGAAGTAAAAAGTACTTTAAAACTTGGTGCAATACAATTATGATGTCAAATTTCTCAAACTGCCGAGAGTCAAAGTACAAATTTGCAAGTTTGTAAAAAATTTAACATTGCGTTACCAAAATTAAACACACAGTAGCATTTTTAAAAAATCTCATCAAAAACAACAAAATTTATAGCATCTTCACAACTTCTCAAAATAATTTAGCTATGTCAGGAATGGGCAGTATTTATGATGCAATTATTTCGAATATGTATTTCAAATACAAAAAAAATATTTTGTAATTTGTATTTGATAGGGTTTATGAAAATGAGTTAATAATTTGTATCAAAATACTTTGATGTCTTGTATTTTAGTATTTGAAAATATGGTAAAATACATGTAAGGAGTCTACATGCTGACATCATGAAAATGCGGCCTTTGATTGGCGCTTTCTCAGTTATTTGCCTAGGCTTGAGAGCAGAACAGAAAATTGATTTACTGTATAAGGTGGGGGCGAACCAGTTGAGCAGTAGGTAGTGCTGTCGCCTCACAGCAAGAAGGATGCTGGTTCGAGCCTTGGCTGGGTCAGTTGGCGTTTCTGTGTGGAGTTTGCATGTTCTCCCTGCATTTGTGTGGGTTTCATCCAGGTGCTCCGGTTTCCCCCACAGTCCAAAGATATGCGGTACAGGTGAATTGGGTAAGCTAAATTGTCTGTAGTGTATGAGTGTGTGTGGATGTTTCCCTGAGATGGGTTGCAGCTGGAAAGGCATCCGCTGCATAAAAACATATTCTGGATAAGTATTCGGTTCATTCCACTGTGTCAACCCCTGAGTAATAAAGGGAATAAGCTGAAAAGAAAATGAATGAATGAAGAAGGATAGCTTGGAACATGGAAGGAAATTATTCATCACAGTGTGGTGATATCTACAATAGTTCACTGGCTGTTTAAATAGCCATTATAGTTAATGAAGAGGAAATATGTCTGCTTAAAGATGTCAAAGTGAAACAATTTATGAAACACAAATATTTAATAATAAAGCAATTAAGTGTATACAGACTAGTCAAAAACACCCGACAAATGTTATACGGCATCAGCAGGATATACAGTTGAAGTCAGAATTATTAGCCCCCCGTGAATTATTTTTTCTTTTTAAAATATATATATTTTTAAATAATGTTAACAGAGCAAGGAAATTAAATTTTACAGTATGTCTGATAATATTTATTCTTCTGGAGAAAGTCTTAATTGTTTTATTTCGGCTAGAATAAAAGCAGTTTTTAATAAAAAAAAAACCCCAAACATTTTAAGGTCAGAATTATCAGCCCCTTTAAGCAATATTTTTTAATTGTCTACAGAAAAAAACATCATTATACAATAACTTACCTAACTACCCTTACTTGCCTAATTAACCTAATTAACCTAAGCCTTTAAATGTCACTTTAAGCTGTATAGAAGTGTCTTGAAAAATAATTAGTCAAATATTATACTGCTATCATGGCAAAGATAAAATAAATCAGTTATTAGAAATGAATTATTAAAACTATTATGTTAAGAAATGCTTTGAAAACATCTCTCTGTCAAACAGAAATTGGGAAAAAATAAACAAGGGGCAAATAATACTAACTTCAACTGTAAAAAAATGTATAAATATTTAGCTATTCAGGTACAGAAGAGGTGAACAGTGAATCTGTTAAAACTTGCTCAGAGAAAAGCTGTTGCAATCAAATATATTTTACTTCACTTTTAACAGAGAAGGAATTGATCGAATAGGCCTATGCAAGGTTTGCAAAGAAGGTTGATGCTAAACTTGTAAAAGTATTTTGTAGAATTTTCAAAATACAAAAATATATTATTTTATTTTGATACATTTGTGGCTGCTGTATTTTGTAGTTTATTTTAATATACCTAAATTGGAGGTATTTGGTAGGAAATGACATGACCACATTGCAATGTTCTAAAGGCCTTTTTTTAGCATTTGTAAAGTACGTTCAAAATAATTCAAAATGCATTACCTAGGTCTACTTATGTGATTTCAGATGCATAAAAGTTGACCAAGTTGGCTAAGCGAGATGTCCTTTACTACAGCCAAGATCTTGGAGATTTTATGCTTTCTTAATCAAAGTATTTACTGAAACAGCATGGGGCTATTAACATGCCAAAACAATCTGAATTTAAATTGTGTTAATTTGAATTATTAACTGTTGGAATTTAATAAAACTATATGCCATTAAAAAATGTTTTGAATTGGAATTCCTTAACTTGAATTTAAACTTTATAACTGGAATAGTGAACATCTTAAATTTAAGACAACTGATTTTTAAAGTGAGATTTTTAGACTTTTTTTAACTTTAAAATTCATATATTGCAGATACTGGGTTTGTAAAAATACAGTTTCAAGTTTTACAGATGAAGAAATTCGGAACATCAAATTCAATATTCTTAAACTCTGATCCAGAAATTCAGATTGTGAAATTCAGATCATGCAGAAAGTAGGTCAGTTTAGTTAAAATCAATTTAAGAAATTAAAAATATTTTTTTTTTAGCGAAACACAATATTATGTTTTATTAAATTAAAATAGTTAATAATTTAAATGAACGCAATTCAAATTGTTTTGGCATAGTATTAGCTCCATAATACAGTAGCTAGTTTACACTGTATCACATATAAAATAAACTCATCATGGCTGCTACTTGCAACTCAATCTTAGTGAAATCCTCCATACGTCGGAGCATTGTAGAGATGGTTAGACAGAGGTGGAAGTTAAAAGGTTGAGCCAGAATGTAGGGGAATGTAGTAACAGGAGATTCAGGTCATAAACATTGAAATGAGGTCAAAGACTGAATGACCAAAAACAGATCGAACTGGTGGGAAATTAAAGAGTGAGAGGGAATATAGAGGGACTGAGAGAGGAGGTCATTTTGACATGAGGAGAGCTGTAGCACCGACCCAGTGGGCTGATTGAACCTGGCGATCTTTTGAAATCAAACGCAGGCTGCAGTGGCTCCAGCATGTACCTGATAGAGACACAACAGTGGCTCCTAGTGGCAGCAACCAGTTTTAATTTTAAAAATGGGAAAGAAATACCAATTGCACAATGCAAAATCTTACAAATAATATTTTAAAAGTAGTTTTTTTTTTTTTTTTTTTTTTTAAAGTTGTTGCTAAAACTTTTGGGTCTTGAATTTAATGTCAGAATGCCTGCTAGAGCCACTGCAAATCTACTGAAACTACTGAAAATCTGCAGCATTTTCAAGTTGTTTCTTTTATGTACTGTATTTTTTTATGTTATATTTATTCAAGTTAAAGCACTGTTTTCTTTTTTATCATGGTTCACAGAAGATTACGCAAAGCACTTTCAGAGTTATTCATGTTAATGTAACAAACCACATTTGTCACAAATGCACAGACCAAAAATTAGCTAGTTGTGTGTATGATTGTGGAATAACATATTAAGATTTTAAAGAATTAATTTATTTTTTGACAGAAGCAGAAAGTTGTATATATTGTACAGCATGGGGAAACTCTGTATTCAGCTGGTTTGGCAAATTGAATTGCACATGAATTTGACATCAGCCACATTTTGGACTGTTTTTGTCCCTGTGTTTCATCACTCTTTTAGAGTCATGTAGTAGTAACTAAGGTAAAAGGGTTTATGTATACTCTGTAGTGTTGTTGTTATGACTGAGGCATTTGTCTTTTTGTCTTTTATTCATTTTCAAACGACCACACATTCTAACCTAAAGCATGTTGCTGGACAGGTTTTTTATGTCATTAGTTTGCCTGTGGTGTGCCTTTGAAAGCGAGTTTGCTTGTTTTGTGGGTTTTGGGGAGTAATGAAAAAATCTATGCTGGTGGTATTTTACAGGCACAGATGGAATGTGAAAATATTTTCCAACACATTTTCTATTGAATTTTGTCGAGAATTTTTGTTTTTTAATTCTAAATTGAATATTTTAATTGAGTTGAAACACTTGCCATTTTTTCATCCATTCATTTATGTTTTTGCAAACTAATTTAGGGCAGTAAATGTTAAAAAGTGCAAAAAAATCATTAAATAAAAATTTAATAAAAGTTATTAATCTCATATTTTCTGTCAACTTTTCATATGTTGAGAAAAAGTACATTAAAAATACTAGAAGGTTTTTAAAATGCTAATAAAAATGATATTTTTTAAAATTTCAAGATGCTTTGTTTTAAAGATGGCGCATTTCTGTACAATTCTATCAGAAAAAGGACAATGCGATAAAGCAATTTACACATTTTCAATGAAAAGTGGATGGAAAATTGGCCAGTGTAATTGGTTGATACATTTTTTACACCCTTATATAGTCCTTGGATTTACTTAATTTTGTTAAGTTAAGTGGTTTTAAACAATTTATTTGGGCCGAATTTAAACAAACAAATTAGGTTGAACATAAGTTTAATTTGTTCACTGTAAAACCCCAAGAGTTAAGGTAAACCAAACCAGTTGAGAAAACAGATAGCAACAGACTATAAGAGTTCAAAAACTAATTTTAATGAGTACTGTGAACTTAACCCATTTGAGTAAATGAAGCAATTTTAGCACAGAAAAAGCCAATAAATGAAGAGAACTCAAACTAAATGAGTACTGTAAAACCTAATAAGTTAAGGCAACTCAAACCGTTTGAGATAAAAAAAATTAATCTGCTGTATATGAGTACTGTGAACTTACTCCATTTAGGTTGAAGTTATGAGGTATTTAAATAACTCAGTACCTTCAACACTGAGTCCAAAACTCTTTTCAAATGAGTAGAATTAACTTTCAGTCAATTTTGAGTTAACTACATTCATGTCATTTGATAAAGTTGACTGTTGGGTTTTACAATGTTTAAATTCAAGCCATATAAATTATTTCCTGCAGTTTTGCAGAAATCTTTCTTTTTTTTCCAGTGTACTGTCATTTTGCAAGATAT